CGTATTCTGAAGGAGTGTCGATTTAATTAACAAAGCCAACTGTTACCGAAGCACTGAAATCCGCCACAGTGCCGCGGATTTCAGATATTCATTTCTTGACGAGTGGACAGGAAACGACAGAGTAGTCAAGGAAAGAAACGCCAGTGCCAACCGCCACTAGAGTTAAGAAGGCGTCTAAAATTTTGAACCTCAAATCAACGATGTCCGTTAGAGACGCATGCAAGGACAAAAACATGCTCAGAGTCAAATACACTAATATACTATCAAAATCAGGAAACGCAATACTCAGCAACTCGGCTGACTACCAACCTGGCATTATAATCTACTGTGAAAGATATGAATTTTAATTAAGTGCATAAGAGCATAACAACAGAGGAAAGCAGATTCGCACAAGAAAAGCGCAAAGGCTAATTCAAAGCCTTGTCTAAGCCAGACAAGGGAAGAAATGGTTCAAAATTATCAATTAATGCCATAGAAACAAAGTGGATTAGGCAACTCAGTGGTAAAACATCAGACTCGCAGTCGAAAAATCGTGGGTCCCAATCCCTGGTGAACAACCAGCATTTATTCGTTCTAATTTTGATGAGTGAGCAAAGAAAGGAAACTACGCCGTAATGCCTTCATTGTGCCAATGCAGCAGATGCTGCTTAAAAAATAGAGCAATCATGGCATATGATTTGTGACGCAAGTCTGCACCTCAACATAAGTTCCAGCCAGACAGTAAATTTCAATCACAGCTTCTCCATGCGGATCGCAGAGGTAGACACGTCCGAGAGTGTCTCCAACATCCGTGAACCTACGCAAGCGTTTTAGCTTCGACGGAAAATAATCCTACTCTGGAACGAAGTCTATCAATACACTCGACTCAGGATATTCTTCGCCATAGCCGCGGAATTCGAACGGTCGCTTCGATAACTAGCAGCTGTTTCTTTTCTCAAAGCATTCGCAAGGCGTACACAAACCATCGCAGTTGTGACCTTACGATCAGGAGAAGCAGCGGCTGTATACCAAGACATTCTCAGATATCCGCACTACAGGTCATGTCGAGACGCAGGAGACAAGCGATGCGTCTCAGAATACTAATTTCAGACGCTTGTACCCGGGATCAAAGTATGGCCCACGACTCAAGACTATACATGAGCATGGGGATGAAGATCGACTTAAACACAGAAAAAGTAGCCTTCAGACTCAACTCTGCCTTAGTTACAATGATTCCGGCTAGTTCAGGCAGGATGCCACTGGCTACTTCAATCTGTCCATCGATCTCTTCCATTTTCCGTAACTCCGAGGCACTTGAA